AGCAACAACTCCCATGATTCCTCACTCAGTCACGGCGTCATCAAACTATGCCTTTGTCTATTTATTTATTTTGAATACGCGCCCTCTAGCGGCGAAAATTACATATTGTGCCTTTAAATGTCAAGAAGTAGGGTTGAGGTGCTGTTTTCCATATTTTATGTTTTGTATATTTGCATTTTTTCAGTGTATGTGAATTAAAGCCTAAATTAAATCTGTTCATTAGCAATTGTGCCTCTTCAGAATACTCAGATTAAATGGCTCAATTCATATGGATTACATTTGCAATGTCTTTATGAACTTTCTGAAGTGTCAACTTTTTGGGTGAATGGAGGGACAGAAATCTTTCAGGTTTCATTAAAAATATCTTATTTTATGTTTCAAAGATGAACAAAAATCTTGTGGATTTTAAACAACATAAGGATGAGTAACTTAAAGCAAGGGTGTTACCAAGCCATTGACAGAGTGTAAGCTTCCAAATGGATTACATAATAGGTACACTACTAGGCCAAAATTATTTAAACACCTCCTAATTAACGGGTTTTACAATTTCAGATACACCCATTACTTACCGATGCATAAAATCAAGTATACAGCCACACAATCACTTTCGGTAGGATGTACCTTTTTGTTCCTGGGATAGTCATGCAAGCATGTATTGTCTTGCAAGGCACAAAATAAAACATCTTACATATCAAATACACTTGCCAAAGATGTGTTTAAAGCAGCATATACTTAATATACATTTGTTGCTCTGAATGCGTACATCACACCTGTGGAAATAATGTCAAATAATTATACGACTTTGTATATAATTGAAGGAATTAAAAAGGATCTGAAAAACATCTCACACTGCTGTTACAGTGGACTTTCTAAACAGTCCATATCTTGACTTATTACTGATTTTGTTGTCTTTAAATTGGATAAGAAAATGGGAAATGATGTCTGTGAAATACAATCTTCTTGTCTAGTCTGAAATAGCACTATGATTTTTATTGATAATTTCTCTCTGTGTAACCCCTTACAATTAAACAGACTGTTTTTGCTACTGTACATTTAGTACATGAAGCAAAATTGTTGTATGTTATAGAGCTTGTTATGTTAAAAACATTTTTGATCCTGTTACAGAATTATGTGATATATGGTTATTTCTAAACATCCTAATATTTGTTTGCTGAATGATGATTCTGATCTCAATTTGAACGCTTATCAGGGTAGAATATTTCACACCGCATTAACTGCAGCCAAGAAGATAATCTTTAAAATTTGGTATGAACCTACATTCCTGGCTGACAACATGTGGCTCTTAGAACTAAAAAATATTGCACTGTTCAACAGCAAGGATTAATAAAGCCAAACCAAGAACAATTAAGGCATGGTCAGAAATTATTGATAAACTTTCTTATATAATAACTCAATAGACCAAATACAGTGAATGATAAATAAGAGCAATTGGTATTCCAGGTGTGTATAGATGTGGTTTGTCACCCCTATAGTGTGTTTACATTTTATTTGTTTATTTATTATTATTATACTTTTTTTTAATGCAAACCGTGGTTTGTATATAGTTATAGTTGGCCTTGTATGTTGGCTTTGTTCTACAATAAATACAAAATAAAAAAAAGACAAGCACAAATTATGAAGATAAGCACAAATTATTCTAAGAATTCTAAGAATTGTTGTGTGGCATTGAAGATGATGATGTAAATTCTTTACTACTTTTATGTTAGACATTAGGCAATACTGTAGTATTAGTGTGGGGCAATGGTTTCAACATGTAGAGGTCAGATCACAGCTTTGTGCTGATCTAAGCAAGCTTTATACTCTCGGTGTCAGATAATAGCAGGAAATCATTAATGGACACACAAAAGCATCCCAGCTGTTACAAGTGCATGTACAAAATCACAAAACCAGAGGGAGAGAAAATGCTTGAAGATATCTTCACAGAAAGAGCAGACTTAAATGCTGAATTTGTTTATATATATATACACACACACACACATGTGCTGACTGCTGACCAGTGCTGCACTGGTCAAATAAACGACCACACATACACAACAGTATAAATGACAGCGTATACTGTATAGGTTGGCAGAATCATTTGTTTCTAAGGAAATGGTGACTGGGTGTGGGATCCTCATGTTCCCTTTGTTTTATGGCCTGTCCTGAACCAGAGGAAGTGGATTTATTTCCATATTTCCATCATAGGCCTAATTAGCTGTCCTTGCTGTTGGTGCAGTTAATTCTTGCATATTGCTATGAAACAACTAAAAAAGAGCCTATACAAATCACCCAGTAAGAAAAAAATGTATGTGAATGTAGAGTGTGTCTTAAGTCTTGCACAGTCCCAGGAAAACTATTCCAGAGTTTAGGAACCAGGTAGGAAAGGATCTACCTCCTTTGTGGCTTTTGAATTTTTGGGTACTGTCAACAAACCAGAATTTTGCGACCGCAGTGGCCGTGATGGATTAAAGCATTATAAAGACTGAATACGTACTGTGGAGCTAGGCCGTTCAAGGCTAGTAATTACATTTTTTTAAAACTGATACAAAACAGGTAACCAGTGTAGAGATGATAATATTGGGCTAATGTGAACATACTGAATTAACAGGTAAATTAATTGTCTGGCATCATAAACAGCATGCGTCGTAGTTTATCAAAGTTACTGAGGTGAAAGAAAGCTGTTCTACAAACATTGGCAATGTGACTATCAAAAGACTGGTCTCTATAAAGCGTAACACTCAGGTTTTAAACTGTAAAGGATTGCACAATGGTACAACCGTTGACTCAAGTGACTCGAGCATCTTTTCTTTTAGAGGCATTTGGTCCTATTATTAAAACCTCCAGTTTGTCAGAATTCAGGTGGGGGAAATTACTAGTCATTTAATCTTTGACTCTACCAATGCAATCTGCTAACTTTGAGAAGCTTGAGAAACTTCATTTGGTCTGGGTGAGAACTGATTCCATGTTTCCTGATAATGTTCCCCAGCAGCCCTCTACGAACACCTTGGCAATTGAATCGCCATTGGCTAGTAAATTTTTTTGTTTACTCGCCAGACTGGTAAATATATACATACACATATACATATATACACACATACACACACACACACACACACACACACACACACAGCGCGCATAGGTAGCGCGTCAATTCTCTCTCTCCCTCTCTCGCTGCATGTGTGTGAAACAAAGTGACGGCGAGTCGTGCGCCTTCACACTAGAGTTTACGGGACGTTAAATACAGGTGCGCTGCGCATCCATTTAGATTAACTGAAAAACAGCACAGATCGCTTGGAGAGTGAAACTCTGATGCGCTCAGTCAGAGAGTGTTCGGCGAGTGAAAATATATCTGAGCTAAACTTATACTTAGCCTCCAACTCACACACTGGCGAGTAAAATCTGAGAATTTATTAGCAATTGGCTAATATTAGACATCATTTAGTCGCCAGAGTGAAGATTTAGTCGCATATGCGAGTGATTTACTCGCAATGTAGAGGGTTGCCCAGGAACATTTACTGCACAATAAAAAAGCAGGGGGCCTAATGTTGATATCTGTGGCACTCCATACCTAACTTACCATACCTGTTTTATCTGACATCTCTTCATTTACACAAATAAACTGATAGTGAGGATATAAACCATGCTAATGCCTGCCCACAATGCAGGGCAATGCAGCCATGATCAGATGATATGGGGACTAAATTCTGTCTAAAATTCTTCATAAATATAATTTCTCAGCAGATATGAATATAGTTGTGAAGACAATTTTTTTTTAATATATATATTTGATATAAATGGCATATTTGAGATTGGCATATTTATTACTGCCAACTTGAAACGTTTGTGACTTGCTCTAAGGAAAGCGAAGAGTTGATAATAAGGAGAAGAGGTTCTAAGATTACAGGAAGTAGAACTTTCAGTAGTTTATTGGGTAAAAGATCAAACATACATTGCTTTGAGGATTGGATAAATGTTAGTTCTTTCTGTTATATGACATTGAAAATTTTTAATTGCTTGTAGTGAGAAGACGTCTTCAGAGGAGATATAGTGTGAAGATGCGTAGTTCTTATTTTCTTTCTGATGGCCTCAATTTTATGATTGAAGAAATTGATAAAATCATTACTTCAATGCTGTGGGGAAATATGAGGTTCAATTCAATTCACATTTATTTGTATAGCGCTTTTCACAATACAAATTGCAAAGCAGCTTCACAGAAAATTAAAGTTTCTACGTTATATTTAGGAGTTGCTGTGGTGACTATGTCAAGGTGATGTCCATATGGCGGAAATGTACAGTAAAAATCATGCAGTTAGTTAATGACATGTATTCAAACAAACAGTGAACTATTAACAGCAATGATTATATGTTGCAAACATATAAACTTGTAGCAAAATGTGGTAGTTTTTGTATGTTGGTTCAGGGTTTTTATCATCTGATGTTTTGTCATAGCTTTGTTTTTTGTCAACCTGTACTGAATAGGATCCTAGGATTGTTTTGGTTATTTTCTGTGAGAGCGCCTACATATGATTATTGCAGCTTTCAGAGCCCATCTGTAGCTAGAGACACTATTCCTTTCCTTCCATGCGCCTCGAATAACCTCTTAAGTTTGTACTCCTCCTGTACTTCATTTTCCGAGCAGCCTTCTTAGGCTCATTGGTGTGGTTGTACCACAGTGTGGGGCATTTTTCTTTAATTCTATTTAATTGTCTTGAATTAATTGAATAATGACAGACAAAGTCACTAATAGAATCCGAATCAAAGCTATGCATCTGGTGATTGAATCAAGGCATTATTTGTCAGAGACAAAAACAGTGAGGATCCCAATTAGTGTGACTGTATTAAACAGGATTTCAAAAGATTAATTAACACAAAATATTAATCAGTGAAAAAACACCAAAATGTATGTAACCTATGTAACATCAAAAACATATTGATGAATAACAGCATTTAGTGTAATGGAGATCAGAAATGTTAATTTCATATTTTACTCTAATTTACAGGAGTGAGGCCTCAGTGCCATGCCAGAGAAATCCCATAGCACGGCCCATGACGTCCCAATGGGTGAAGGTAAGACTCAACTCTCATCTGTACAGAAATTGTGCAGTTAAATTTCTCACTAAGGCAAGGCAAACATTTAACTCATTATTCATCACAACTCAAGTTTTATGTACTTTTGGAACAGATAATCTTCTTTTTCTATTCTATCTATTTTCTTTTTATTTATTATATAATTTAAAAAAACAACAACAACAACAAAAAACCCTTGCTACAGTACGTGTACTGCGTTAAGCTAACTGAGACTTGTTATAGCACTTGCATATCATTGCTCTCTTGTTGATTTTGATTGCTTCCATTGTCCTCATTTGTAAGTCGCTTTGGATAAAAGCGTCTGCTAAATGACTAAATGTAAATGTAGATAATCATTATTGTTCTGTATTACAGCAGTACAGAAGGCAACTATCATATATGGGTTATCACGAACGTCTTTCAGATTAAAATTTTTTTGCGGTTAGATGACTCATGTGTTTAGATCATTGTTGCTGTGTATGCTAGAATATTCAATTCAGTCAAAAACATTTACTGTGCATTTATTTTCAGTAACTACACCTGTAGAGGTGCATGAGAGGGCTGGTTAGAATGGTTCAAATATCCAAAGTAGTAGTAGACGTTGTAGCACGATAAAACAGTTTTTTTTTTTAGCACTGATATGACTAGAGTTATCATCCCAAATGTACATCATTTGTTTAGGTGTAAAACATTTTTAATTGGAAACATTTAGTTGCACCTAAAAACTTGTTTGGAAATGTTGTTAATTGGGGAGTGAGAATGGGGCCCACAGGAATGTCAAGTCAAGCCAAGTCACCTTTATTTGTATAGCGCTTCATACAATACTGGTTGTGTCAAAGCAGCTTTACAGTGTCAAACAGGAAAATAGTTTGTCAATAATGCAAGAACACAATGACAGAGTCATTTTTCCAGCTGAAGTCACTTCATTGATGATCCAGTTCAGCTCTCTTCCAATAGTGTCTGTGCAATCAGTCAAGCGTCCCCAACTGAAGAACTGCAAAGTTTATACCTCAGACTACAGGCTACAAGAACCATGTATCTATTGTTGTGTCTCTTGAGGAGAATTTGTGCATGTACTGTTTATTTCAGTTATTTCTTATTAGGGATGTGCAAAACTACATACTTTAAAAAAACAACTAGTCTATTTGTCTAAATGACTAGTTGACTTTGAGAAATTGGATGTTCATATAGGACTTCATTGTATATTTAAAAATGAAGCATGAACTCATGGGGTCTCAACATTTTTCAAAAACATGTCTTCATAAACATAAAATTGGCATTTTTAAAGTGCCCCTATTATGCCATTTTTAAGGTTCCTAATATTGTTTTGGGAGTCTCCTACAATAGGTTTACATGCATGCCAGGTCAAAAAAGACATTCGTTTTCTCATAATATACATTTAATCTCACTGCATTTCTCAATGATTCATATGAAGCAGTTCTAAGATTCAGTCTCTCTAAACCCCTCCTTTCCATTGAAAAAAAAATGAATGTCAATCACTGATTCTTTGCAGCCTCATCATTCGGAAGTGAAAATAAAACAAATTTACTTTCACAGTGTAGGACACAGCGTCTTCTTGACATGAGGTTAACCACACGGAAATGCTAAACTATTTGAGGGCAGGTCAAGTTATTTGCGGCCGCCCAACGTAGAACATAGGCGGGCATTATGCAAATGTGTTACCCAGTGATGTGTAGTGGGATTTGAATTCCTGATGACTCGTTTAGGCTGTTCAGAGTCAATTCTTATTTTTTTTTTTTTTTTGAGAGACAATAACTTTATTTACCGTGCACTGTTGGCTTCTTAACTGTGCAGATAGTTTACATTCACTTACAGTTCCATTTCGCACTGCATGAAAGGCAATATTCAAAATGTTATAACAGGGGCACTTTAACTCAAGTACTGCAACCTTCATTTGGGTGTCAGGTTTTTCTAGTTTTTTTTTAGTAAGGCATCTGAGCTATGTTGAGTCTTTCTGCTGTCTCTTTCCCTGGTGTCAAAGTGAACTATAACATGCATGTCAAAATGGTTAAAATGTTGATCCGAAAATTCATCCAGGAAAGTAAGAATCATCACTTTTTCCAGTTTGCTTGGTAAGTATGAATGCCATTTATGTGCCATCACAATAGATTTAATGAATGTAAGTTTGCGAGTTTTGCACAGGTAGCACCAAGACTGTAATTTTTTTTGCTGCTTAATTAAATCTACTTAATTAAAATGAGATTAAGCAACATAATGACTGAACATTTTGTATTTATTTTAATTATGTATAGTCTACTTAAATATATAAAACTGGAGTTTTCTTAATTTTTTCAGTTGGAACTACCTAAACCATTTTTGTAGCATTAACTGAAACCGGGCAGTGGATTAGTTACCAGCATGCTTAGCATAAAGCTGGATCAGGAGTGTAGATGTTGAAATTAAGTGTTTATTTTGAAATTAAGTTGAAATTAAGTGTTTTTGAGTAAAGGGAAAGACCTGGTCGTATTTAATGTTTAGTTATGTTTGACATTTAAAAAGAGATTCTGTTATGTTGAAGTTTTGAGGTTACTATTGTGCTGAAGAGTAAAGCTTGTGGTTAGGTTGTGGGTGGCTACATGAATTAAGTTTATAGTGTATGTTGTGCCACTAAATAAGCAATAACTGAACTGAAGTCAGTGCAATGACAAGTAATTTCTTGCTTGTTCTTTCCAAACAAAAAAACATATATATATATATAATAAATATATATCCATTTATTTCAATGGATCATCCTTTCCAATCATCCTACTACTTGTCCGCTTGATCCTATTCAATCTCATCTCCTATGGTTTCAACAAACCCATCACTTTATCAAAATTTCACCATCAGTTAGGCTCATCAACCATAACTCCTTCAAAAACAGCTAGAAACTTTGGGGTTGTGATTAATGATAAGCTGAATTTCTCAGACCACATTGCTAAAACTGCCCTGTCCTGCAGATTTGCTTTATACAACATTAGGAAGA